TTAATAAATACTATTATTACTACTAATAGACGTTCCTTAGTTAGTATATATATATATATATATATATATATATATATATATTTAAATTACCTTTATTTCTTTGACTAATAATTTTTTGTAAATTTTGAATAAATTTATTTTACCATTTTATAACTTTCTAAAAAAACTTCTTAAATAAAAATAATATTTAAATATAAAAATTAATATTTTTAATAAAATTTTCATATATTTATTTCTACCAAAAAATAACGATGATGCATTTCCTGAATTTAAGCTTAACAGTAACCATATATGCTTAGGTTGCATCCAATTGGTATCCAAATCCTAAATAGTATATTTCCATGTATACAAATGCCAACATAAAGCTCATTTCTGTATCATGTATGCGAATTTGAATAATACTAACATTAATCGTTCATAGCATTAGAAGACTTTATTTCATACTAGATCTCGCTCTTTGTTCAAATGGGATCTCGATCCGTTACTTCTACCCTCACCGGAATTCGCTCCCTAACCTCCAGAGCTTTGGGCAGTCATCGATCCGATGCTCTCACTCCAGGAGCTCGCGCAGCTCCTGCTCTCGCTTCCGGTCCCGGTAACTATGGTCTACACCAAGAACAATAAGAAACAAAACAAAAATCCAAGTCTTCTTCCCTTTCTCTAAACCCAAATCTCCTTCTTCCTGAACACAGTGAGACTTTTGAAGAGCACAAGAACCAGAGCAGAAAACCCAACCAAAAAATATCTGAAGAAAAATCAATTCCCTTCTTTTCCTCAAAATAGAAGAAAACCCAAAATCTCTTTCATCCGAAAGACAGAAAAAAATGAGAGGTAAACTAGAGAGAAAAAGAGTTAAGAACTAAGAGAGAGAAAGAGACAAACTGTCTATGCAACTTACCCCAATCTCCCTCAATTTCTTTGGGTTAAAATATTTTTAAGAGAGAGAGATTAGGAGAGATTGATTTTTTCTTTTTTTTGCTGTTTTTCTTTATTTTAGAGAGAGAGATTTTTTTTGAGAGAAAGAGAGATTGGATTTTTAAAATGAGAGAGAATAGATTTTTAAAGAGAGAGAAAATAGATTTTTATTGGAGAGAAAAAAGATAATAGGTTTTTAGAGAGAGATTGTATTTTTAGAGAGAGAAAAAATGATTTTAGAGAGAGATTGGATTTTTAGCAATAAAAAGAGATATTGTGTTTTTAGAGAGAGAATGAGTTAGTATTATTATTATTATTATTATTGGCATATTATAAATGAAAAAAGCTTGAGGAGTGAAGAATAAAATTTTTTAAAAAAGGAAAAGAAAGTCCTTATTGGGCCGAGATGGGCCTTATTGGGCCAACTCAAGGCATTTTTGGGCTGCCGGGCTAGTCATGCCCGCTGGACAAAATTTATGCGCCTTTTTTGGGCCAACCTGTTAAAGGCCCATTAGAGGCCCTGTTCATAGTGGCCCGCCTGTTAGATGCCTGGAGCCCGTTAGTAGCCCATTAGCTGGCATCGACATGAAACCGAGCGCGGCGCTGGCCAGTGGCAACCCTATTATTTGGGTGAGATCAACTCCATTTTTTGCTAAACGAGTTAAATTTGTAGATCAATAGAGAGAGTAGGGGTCGCTCAAATTATAGATTTAGAAATACTACAGATATTGATATCCTCTAAATCTACAGGCAGTTCCAGCTATGGAATCCATTTTCTAGATCTTGAAAAGCCTATAAATCTAACTAAAATTCCTAGAGATGCACGTAAACAAAAAATTACAGAAAATAAACTAGAATTAAAGAATTAATTAATTAAAATGAAGTAAAGATATATTACTTACTTTAGAAACTCGAAACTCGGAGTTTTGGGTTCATATCAGGCCACTCTTGTGCCACCATTTCCTTGGACGAATGCCTTGGTTGCTGAAATTGTAGTGATTAGAGTGTGATTTCCTAGATTTGATTTTTTTATGGGTTGAAGAAGGCGACTTACCGAGATGTTAAAGATTTCTAGTTTTTTAGGATTTTTTATAATTTCTTACGAATTTTGGAAATTTTGTTGTATTTTTGGGTATTTTTTCTATACTTTTCTAATTATCTAGGACTTTCTAGGCTATTTTTCTATTTATTTGGGATTTTTTTGGATATCTCTAATTTTCAGGAATTTAAAATCCTGTTATAGTCTATTTATTGGATGAATTTTTCAGGATTTTGAGTGGGTATTTATAGGTTTAAGTGAGGGCTAAAGTTGAAATTATTAAAATTAATCCCCAAGTCCCAATTTGATTAAAAATAAGGCAATTTCCTTAAATTTTTTAAAATTATCCAGTCGAAACCAACCTAAAACCCTAATAAAAATAGGATTCTCGAGAAGGCCATTCGTGTCTAGGCCATCGGATTGCGTGACGCGATGTCTTGCGAGGCCTGTGGGCCACGCATGTGTCCACGAGTCGCGTGACCCACAAAGGCTTTTGCTAGGGGTAATCTGGTCGTTGTGACCAAATAAACCTCCCCTTAAAGTTCTATTTTTTCAATAGTATGTCCGATTTTGATGATTCTAAAGCCATCAGCAAGCTCTCAAGGTTCACTATGGCTTAGGATTGGTTTTGGGACAATTCTATTGTATATAAGTTTATTACAGTTTATTGGGGCTATTGTGGTCTTTAGGACTCAGGTATCGGGTTTCTAAGAATTTCATTAATCAAAATATTTAGGGGGTGGTCTACGTATACTTGCAATAATTCAAACCGTTGGGCTCATAAAATCTTTGCCTCTCTCTTACTTGCAGCACTTATAATCAGGAAATGTATGCTCTAACGCATAATCACACACATCCGTCTCAATTGAGACTACATCCATATTTGTTGTACTATTTGAACTACTATTTCAACACCCACCGATCTGGGTTGAGAACGGCCAACTTGGACAGGGATTTAATTAGGACCGAACCACGTGTAGGAAAGTCTATATCTCCCCGCAGTCTCCCCTAAAACCCCATCTCACACAATTTTTTATATTCTTCGAGTTTATCTGATGTTTTTTTTAGGTGACCTCTAAATTCTCCCATAAACTCCTATTCTTTTAGTTTTTAATAGTTTTTTGGATAGTTGATTAGGACTAGTATGGCCATTTAGTGATCCGATACGGATTTATGGGATGGAGGATCCACCCGACTGATCCAGGCCTTGAAGTACTGGTTTGAGCTATGATACAAAATCATACCAATTATGTCCAATCAATGGTTTGAGGTGTTCCATCACTGTCCAACCTATACCATCCAATTTATTGATTTGCTAGTGATAACCATCCTGGATGATGGTAAATATGAACATGAGCCATACGATATTTGAGTGCGTAAGCGTGTTTGCCCTTAGAAGCATATTGTATAATAATTCCATTTGAGTGTGGTTTGTATAAGGCTATGGCCTTGAACAATTCATATGATATTGAAAGATATTGTTTCAATATTGGAAATCTTTGTGATAGCATGAAATTTTATTTCTTCTTTAACTTTATAAAGCTTTAAAATTAGTATAGATCGAGTAGATCTATGAACACTTGAAAATATTGAAAATTGACTATTCGAAAATGCATTACAAGAAGCATTACTTTCAAGACTTGAAATCAAAATTTTTTCATGGCCATGCTTGAGGTCGAGATGATCAATTTGAAGAATTTTGAGCAATGAAACAACCTTTTCTAATGAAATTTTTGAGGTGCTCCTTAATTTGATTTTTTTAGGGCGTCGCCCTTATATAAACTTTTTCCTTTTGTGAAAGACCTAAGTAGAAGAATTTTTATGCATATACAATATTGGGATAAAGTCGCTAAATGATGACTCTTTAAAAGGTGTGCTTTGCAACTTTAGACAATCAAATTAAAGCGCACCTCCAAGCTTCGTCGTAAAATACAATTTTAACATAAAAAATTCTTAAGATGGCATTAAATGTTTTTATCTGTAGTTATAAAATTTTAAACTCCAAGATAGTTACAATCAAACATATCTATAAATACATGAAAATCTTGAAAATAAACGGTCCAAATAATGTACTACAAGATTTATTTTTTAGGAATTGAAATCAATTTTTTTCCCATATCCAGACATCTCAGCTTTGAGATGTTCAAGTTTGTTGGTTTTTTAAGGTCAAAAAAACGTTTTTCAATGGATTTTTGAGGGGCACCTTAATTTTACAATTTAAGGCGTACGAACTTTTACCTTCTTTAAATGAAACAATATTTGTTTGGGAAAGTGTTCGGTGAGTTGGCAGACTCACACTATTTTTGTGTGGTCTCCCCTACAAAATATATGTCAAAGATGTATTTTTTATCCAAAATTCTAATATTTATTGATCTCAATTTGGAATTTTTTTTTCAAAAAATACAAATACTGTTTTTTGAATTCCTTTATTCACCGTGCATTTTAACTTTTAGTGGATGTAACAGCACGGTAATAGGACGTGGGCTGACTCAAAACCGTGGCTTATTTTTATTTCAAACAATGTAACCGTCTAAAGATTGGCGGACGTTTATACAAGGTTTCGAGTGGTCAAACGTATACCGTCCATGGGAAAAAGATGACGGTGATAAAGGGCGTGCAGGTTCAACAGTCATAAACCAAATGAAGGTCTCTTTCTTCATCACTGTTCATCATTTGTATACACGGTAGAAACCCTGAAGACTATGTAAAACTACTCCTGTTGTATATTGCAATGTACTCGCTATCTTTGAAACCCTAGAAAGTATCAAAACCCTAAAAGCATTCACGCTTGAGGCTTCTCTCTGCAACTCCCGAGCTCGAAATTCTCTCTCTACGTTCACTCTCTCTCTCTAGAACCTTTTATCTCTCTAAAAATCTTTTGCGCAGACATGGGTCGAGTTCGAACCAAGACTGTGAAGAAATCATCGCGCCTTGTGATCGAGCGATACTACTCTCGAATGACCCTGGATTTTCACACCAACAAGAAGATCCTTGAAGAGGTCGCCATTATTCCTTCAAAGCGCCTTCGAAACAAGATCGCAGGCTTCTCAACCCACCTGATGAAGCGTATTCAGAAGGGGCCAGTTCGAGGTATCTCTCTGAAACTCCAAGAAGAGGAAAGAGAGAGGAGAATGGACTATGTACCTGATCAATCCGCCATCAAAACTGACTTTATCGAGGTGGATAAGGAAACTCTAGACATGCTTTCGGCTTTAGGCATGGCTGATTTGCCTGGCGTGGTGAAGCAGGCTGAGCCTGCAGCGACTGGAGGTTGGAACAAACAAGGAGGTGGGTTTCAGGGCCCTTCGGGTGCTAGTGCTCGAAGATATTGAATATTTCTTCTCTTTTAGGTTTGATCTGCAAATTTTTGCTTCCGAATTTGTCTATCTTTGATGTCAGGGACCTCAAAATCAGGATTTTTTTTAATCTTTTTTGTTTTTTTGTCGTTTTTGAAGTTAAGAGATGTTCAAGATTAGGGATTTTCCTCAATTTTGATCTCTTTGAGGTTAACAGATTATAAAATTATGGTTTCTTTGAATTTTTCTCTGGTTTGGTTGATCTTTGATGTTAGCAACTCAAGATTTGGAATGTAGCTTTTTGTGTTATGCTATCTGCAATGATTGAATTAGATAGGTGTTTTGGAATGTAGCTTTTTGAATTATGCTCTCTGCAATGATTGAATTAGATAGGTGTCTTTGATTTGCAGGAGTTATCTCCTTTTTGGGAGGAAATAGCTTCTTGATTCCTTTCCCCCAAGGATGAGGAAATCCTTGCACTTGGATTTTTCCTTTAGATAAACCATTACAAAATGGAAGAAAGTTTATATAATGTTGGGGCCTTAAACAGCTCCTCAAAAATTTACTAGAAGAAGTTGTTTTTGATGTTGAAAACCCTCAAATTGATCTTCTAGACCTCGAAATGTATACATGGAGATTCTGAAAAATAGTGCATCTTGTAATGCATTATCTGATCCATCAATAATCAATATTTCTAATTGTTTGTAGATCTACCCGACCAACACTATTTTTGAAGCTTGTGTTTAGGCATATTTTATTTGAATTGTTGATTGTGTAATGCCTATTTTGAATGGAATTTTCAAAGCATGGGCTCATTGATTTTCTATTTTGAATTGAATTCTATTTTGAATTGAATTTTCAGAGCATGTGCTCATTGATTTTAAGGGGAATGGGATGATCTGGGCCTTATTTGAGGTTTTCATTTTTTTTTGTTAAGCTTGGTTGTGATGGATATAGATTGAACTCTGCACACTTATTTGTCAAATGTAATGAATATTAGAAAGTAATGCCTGTGAATTGATTTGTTTTTCCTATCCAAATACCTTACAAATTTGGAACTCTAATCAAATGATCTCTAGAAAAGATTATCTGTAAATTAAATGGCTCTTGATCATTATCAGAACATAACTAAGGTTTATCATAATCCATAGAGGTCATACACCATCTTGAACTACTCTACTTTGGCTTGCTAAAAATATTGCCACTAGTGGTTTCTAAAAGCTTCATGTAGGAGACATGAGGTTAATTGAATTCTCTCATATATCCATCTTAACTACATTAATATATCTACTAAACTGAGGTACGTATCTAAATAATTTACGTGTCTCAAAATTTTGCTTTTGGAACTACCAAACCTAGGAGTAAATTAGCCAAACGTGGTTCTCTCCATTTGTCATGCAAATAAAAGACTCTCCATAGTTAGCAAGTCTCCGTTTAAAACATGATTTTTTCAAAAAATTTTCCATTTTTTGAAATCGGTTAAGAACTTCAAATTTTTCAAAAGATCTTCAAAAATCACTTTTTTTTAATGGAATTGATATAAATTCATATTTTATTCTTTTTCAACAAAACTTTTCAGAAAGACTTCTTCCCTATAACTATATTTTTTCATTGACTTAATATCATATAATTTGGGTTTAAAGATAAGTACATTATAGTGGGAGTAAATTAAGAATCTTGATTTAACCAAAAATTTTACCTACTTTTCCTTTAAAAAAGTGTACGAAAAAAATACAAGCAATATATTTCCTAAAAAAAAAGTATCAAAACAATAGTATATCTCAAAATAATAGGTAGAGTTAGAAGAGTAATTTTTTTTCCCTTAAAACCTAAAGTATCCTTATAAAGAGCAAGACAAGGATTCAATGATACTAAAGATATAGACAACCAGGAGTACAGTGTGATATTCAAATTTACCTTGCATTTTGTTGCTTTCGTTGTGCAAAGAGAAGTTTGATTAATTTCATAGTTTATTTTTTTATTTTTATTTTATTGGTGTATACAACATAGTATTTTGGATTGATCAGTATTTTACATAATTGAGTCATTGTGTTTTTTTTTAGTTCGATGAAATCCTATATTGGGGTTTATTTATTTATTTATTTCTTTGAACAATACTCTTATACATTGGTTTATAGTTCTTGTTATTAAGTAATGTAGATCTTGACTTCTTGTGTTTACTAGTAATATAGTTATTGTGTTTAGTATTGTTGTTTCATTTTATGCTTCCAATAAATATATGATATGATGTGTGTTGTGTTGTGGTGTGTTGTGTGACTAAGCATTATTGATGGATTTATTGAAAGTTTAGACAAAAAACACGTCAAGTATTATTCTAATGACACTAGGTGAGGCCAGAAAATTATTGTTTAATGGCTTTAATGCATCTATGCAATAATTGAAAATCATAATGCTATATTATGTTATCTTTACATATTTGATAGTTTTAGACCGTTTTTTTTTTTGAGTTAGATCCGAAATATTCACGATTCTATAACTTGCTTTATTTTTTTTTTGGTGATATTTATTACTTTTTGAAATAAATATGATTTGTCAATGTACCATATTATTATCCCCCGACGTGCTAACTATGTATCACTCCAATCACTTTCTATCTATAAAATTTCAATAATGGAAATCTTTGTGATAGCTTCAAAATATATTTTCATCTTTATTTATAAAGTTTAAAGCTTCAAAAATAGTGTAGATCGACAGATTTATGAAACTCGAAAATCTTGAAAATTGACAGTAAAAAAATGCGTTACAAAATACATTATTTTCAAAACTTAAATCCATTTTTTTTCACATGTCCATCCATCTTGATGTCGGGATGATCAGTTTGAGAATATTTGGGCATCAAAACAACTTCTTCTAGTGAAATTTTTGAGGTAGGTTTTAATTTGATTGTTTAGATACTCGGTTTTATATAAACTTTTTTTTTTTTGATATTGGGATGAATTCAATAGATGAAAATATGTCATAGAAATATTAGTTTGGATTTTGTGCCTAGACATATTTTCAACCACCCGATATCAAATCTAATGATCAAGATGATTGTGACTGTGTATCAAAAGTAAATGGTGTCATTGACATTTCCTTTATTTAAAATCTAAGAGCCATGGGGGGAGGGGTGGGGATATGTGGTCACCCATCGACCACGGTTCTCTCTCTTCCATAAGCTCAAGCTCCTCTCTCTCACCATTTAATCGAAAACAAGTGTTTCTCGCTCTACAGTCGAACCTTAAAAGAAATGAATGTGTGTGTATGGAGAAATTAGGGTAGTGAAAGGGGAGGTTAAATTTAGAGCAAAGGAGGAGGAGAGGAGGTTGCTGAGCGAAGTTTCTCTCCCAAAAAAGTGGTTTTTTCTCTTTCTCCTCATCTCTCTCACTCTCTCTCCCCAAAGTTCCTACTTTCTCTCTCTAGGGTACCTTTGACAGTCTCTAAGAGAGAGGGGAAATTGGTAAAGGAGCTTTTCGCACAGACGGATGGAAGGTAATGTGGCAAAGCAGATTTAAATAGTTGAGAGAGATTGAGTTTGCTTACCTAAAGAGATGGTGGCAATGCGATGGCAAATAAGGTGTTTTTTAACGATCTAGAAGAGCCAAGGAATTTTTTGTTTTTTGTTTTTTTGTTTTTTAACATTAACAAGATACAGAGAAAAATAAGGAGCGTAGAAGATATGGAGCAATACATCCAGAGAAATAGGGGTAATTACCTAATTGGTGTACACCTCCCTTAGCTAAGGAATCCGTTTCCATATTTACTCTACAAAAACAATGGAAAATGTCTGCGCTCTGGGTATGAAGAACACCCCATATCTCATTGAATATTGCAGTCCATCTCCAAAGTATTTTTTGCCTTGCCTTTGCTCCAAGCAATAATATTCACCTAATCTCCTTCTATAATCTTACTTTCCTCAAATCTTGATAGAATTTTAATCCCTTCCGAAGGATTTCTAGCTTTTGCTTCGTGGTAACACCACAAGAACCAGAATAAAAATAAACAATATGAACATTATGGTCTGGGACCAAAGCCAGCTGCATTAGGGTTCCTAAAAGAGCTTCCATTGAAATTCAATTTGTAGGTGTTCATCGTTGGAGCGGACCATACGACACTTATTCTTGATCGAGAAATGGTTAGATTAGCAACTTCAAAAGGATTCAAGATTATTTGACTTTTTGGGATAAATTTGTGATCCTCGAGTGTGGAGAACTAATCTGCTGCCACAACCAAAATATGATATTGTAACATGGAGATTTCCATACTGATCACTTCAAATACCCTTCTTTTTCGTTCCTTGCAAATTCCCAAAAGGAAACTACTCCAAAAGGATCTCCAAAGAACAATGGCTATCTTCGACAGACCAAGCATCATCCAATGGTCCAGTAAAGATTTGGTGTCTCCCAGTATTTGCAAGAACAAGTTTAAGAGATGATGAGCTTAACTCCACAACTCCAAAGAGTAGAGCACTGAAGACCAAAATTCATAATGTTTAATGTTCTAATTCCCTTGCTTCCTTTCCGCACCAGTACATTGACTTTCTCCCAACAAACAAAGTGCAATTTTTTAATCCTATCAACACCCCTATAGGAACTTCCTCATAAGTCCTTCCAAGCACATCAAAATTTGTTTAAACATATGGAAAAGAAACATGTAGTACACTAGTAAGTTGGACAAAGTGCCTCACACCTAGATTAAGCTGTGGTGGGATTTAGAGTTATTCCGCCACATGTTATTTCGGCTTTGGATAAGGATGTTTCGTTGGAGGAATTAAAAAAGGCCGTTTTCGCTTTATCTGGCAATAAGGCACCTAGGCCGGATGGATTCCCTCTAATCCTTTTTCATAAGTTCTGGAGTTTGATTAGTTCGGAACTTTTGGAAATGATCAGGGGATTCTTAAGGAGAGCGCAGCTATTCAAGGGTGTGAATTCTACACTTATTGCTCTAATCCCAAAGAAATATGTGATTGCTACATTGGGGGATATTAGACCTATTAGCCTTTTTACGAAACTTTACAAAATTGTAGCTAAGGTCTTGGCTGAGAGACTTAAGGAGATCTTATTTGTAGTCATTTCTGGCCCCCAATTGCCTTCTATTAAGGACAATTTGATCTCTAACAGTGGCTTGGTAGCACAAGAATGCATCCACTCTAAGATACTTGAGCGCACTCTTGGAGTGGTTATTAAATTAAATATAGAAAAGGCTTATGATAGAGTGAAGTGGCATGTTTTATTATAAATAATGAGAAATATGAGATTCAGTGACAAATGGAGACAGTGGATTCTGGGTTGCCTGTCCTTGGTCCACTTCTCAATACTGTATAAAGGGAGTTCTTTGGGGTTTTTTATGGCTACTTTTGGATTGCTTCAAGGAGATCCTATTTCAGTTACCTAATGAAGGCCCTGGTGTTTCCTATCTACAATATGCAGATGAAACCATGTTGTTTTGTGGAGCACAGAGGCCTCAAGTATCTAATATTGCTATTTTTCTGAAGTGTTGTGAAGTGGCTTTTGGCTTAAAGGTTAACTTTGAAAAAACAAATATGGTGGGCCTTAATTGCCTTGATGAGGAAGTCTCCTTTTTGGCACAGGTGTTTGGTTGCAAGGTTGATAATTTCCCTATTATCTACTTGGGAATGTCATTATCAGATGGTAGGCTCTCCATTGCAGTTTGGGACAAAATAATACAGCATATTCAAGTTAAGTTAGATCTCTGGAAATTTAAATATTTATCTTTTGGGGGCAAGATTATGCTTATTAAAGCGTGCTTGTCAAACTTGCCCATCTACCAAATGTCTATTGTCCAGATCCTTACATTGGTGGCCAAGAAGATTGAGACCATGATGAGGAACTTTCTATAGGGATCTTCAATGGATAAGAAAAAGTTTCACCTTCTGCATTGGGATATGGTATATACACCAAAGAAAGAAGGGGGCCTTGGCATTAGAAAGATTAAATTGGTAAATCATGCTCTACTTTTGGAGAAGTTGGACTCTTAAAAGTCATCTTTGGTATAAAGTGGTTGCTTCAAAGTATGGTACTAATAGGTATGGATTGTGGGTGGGGACCATGAGGGGAGCTTCAAGCATGTTGGTATGTTGGAAGGCTATTCAATTGTGTAAAGGATTCATTCATAGAGATATAAGGTGGTGTGTGGGTAGTGGCAGAAATATTTCCTTTTGGCATCACAAATAGGTTGGGGACTGTCCACTTAAATTACTTTTCTCACTAGTTTTGCAAAGATGGTAAATCAAGAAGCAAATATCTCTGATTACTATGTTCGCAGGGGTGGTCATATTGTCTGGAATATCAATCTACCCTATAATAGAATTACTGATTTGCTTTTCTCTCAATTATCTAACCTTCTCAAGCTTTTGGAAGACGTTTGTATTCCTCAGAATGTTGTTGATGAAGTTGTATGGGAACTTGACAAGAATGAGATTTATTCCTTAAAATCCATGTATAATCTGCTTTTCCATGATAGGGTTAGATGGTCCATGCATGTTCTTGCTAGGTCGTGGAAGTGGCCTCTACCTCTTAAAATACAAGGATTTTTGTGGCTGGCGCCCCAAGATAAAGTGCTTACTATTGATAATCTTATAAAGCGAGGGAAGATTTTACCCAATAATTGGCTTTTGTGTAAGGAGGATGGGGAGTCCGGTGATCATTTCTTCCTTCAATGCCCTTTTGCTAATAAGATATGGAGATGGTTTTTTGAGAAGTTGGGGGTTGCACTTGTAATGCCTCTTTCGGTGGTGAGGAGCTTTCCGTTACTCTTCCAAAGATTGCGGCTATTGCGTGGCAAATTTCAAGAGGAGTCATCCTTTGGGAAATCTGGAAAGAGAGAAGTAGGAGAGTTTTTGAAGGAGTTTCATTACCTTTTGGAAAAGTGTTAAATAGAATATTGCACTCAATATGGCTTTTTCTTTCAGTCCCTCATGGGGGGAAGGATATCTTTGAAGTGAATGTTAAAAGAAATTTAAATAGCATTTCCCAATTGGGTTTCTTTAAATGTAGGCTGAAAGATAAATGGATGACTCCACCACCTGGGGTGTACAAACTTAATTTTGATCGCAGCTCGATAGGCAACCCGGGTGCATCTGGTTTTGGAGGGGTGATAGGAGATTGGGCTAGAAATGTGGCTCTTTCGTATGCGGGTCCATTTGGGGTGCGGACTGCTAAATATGCTGAACTCTTTGCCCTTCTTTTTGGGCTGCGGGTTATATGGAGATGAAGTTGGGGCATGATTTCATCACAGAGGGAGAATCCCTTAATGTGATTATGTGGTGCAAAGAGGAACAATTGCTTCCAAGGGAGTTCAAACCTAAGCTGTTGTAGATCTTGGATCTCTCCTCCTCCCTTTCGGTCTCTTTTGTTCATATTTATAGGGAGGCAAATGTATTGGCAGATTTTCTTGCCAAAGGTGGTACTTCCCTTTCTGATGTATCCATTTGGGACTTTGTAATTTCATTCTAGAGTAATAAAATTTTTTAACCCTCTATCAGAAAAAAAAAAAAAGTTGGTGTATTTAATTAAAGGATATCTACCTCCTAATGAAGGGATATTTTATTTCCATAAATCCAACTTTTTATGAAACATTTCTACAAGTTGGTCCCATATTGATCTTGGGGGATTGGAATCCACTAACGGAATGCCCAAATACTTGAAAGCTAGTCCTTCAACACCACACCCAAACAAACCAACCAAACTCTCAGCAATTATTTCTTGGCATCCAATCCCAATCAACTTTGTCTTGTTAAGACTCGTTTTGAGACCAGTTACGAACTCAACACAATTTAAAAATATCTACAAATTTTTAACCTCCTCATATGGATCACAAAAGATGATTGTATCATCTGCATATTGCAAATGAGAGACCATCAAGCCATTACTACTAATCTTTACTCCTGATATTATTCCCTTACTGACCACTCTCCTAAACATCACACTAAAACTTTAAGCAACTAGCGTATATAAAAGAGACGAAAGTGGTCACCTTATCATAACCCTTTGGAGGCCTTAAAAAAACTAGCATCTTTACCATTGACCAACATAGAGAAGGGGGTAGAAGTTAAATATCCTTGGATCCACAATCTCCATCTAGATCTAAAATCCATCCCTCCCTAATGTTATGCAGAACCTTCCAGTCAACTTTGTCGTAAGCTTTCTCAAAGTTGAGCATGCAGATTAAACCAGCTTTATATTCTTTTATTCTTGAATTGATGCATTCCTAGGCTACCAATTTGCTATCCATAATCTATCTTTCAAAAACGCAGATTATGTACCTTTAACCACCAAATGAATTACTTGATGTAATTTGTTAGCAGCTATAATGTTATACAAGTTCGCCAACAGATTTGTAGGATGAATATCCTTAACCTCCTCAACCATTGATTTTTTTGGTATTAGTATAATGAATGTGGAGTTCATTGCCATATTGATCCTACCTCTCCAATAGAACTCTTCAATTAATTGGAATAAATTATCATTCAGTGGTTCCTAGCAAGTTTGAAAGAAAGCCAATGGATATCCATTTGGCCTAGGAGCCTTATCTCTTTCTAATTCAAATACTACCTCTTTAATTTCCTTCATTTCAAATCTCCTTTCTAACTATTTTGCTTCTTCTAGGGGTAATTTTGTAAAAGAAACTTTGTCTAAGATCAAATTCAATGTATTAGCAGTAGTGAAGACCTACATGAAATGCTCTTTCAAGGCATATTCTATCTCCAAGTTATTATTACAATCTACCGCTTGGATTTTTACAGTATGAATAGAATTGTCTCTCCTTCGAGCATTAGCTATAGCATAAAAGAAATTTATGTTTCGATCACCTTCTTTCAACTATTTGACCATTGACATTTGTCTCCAATGAATCTTCTCCAATCTTAACAGATCCTTTTAAGAAGCAATACAATTGCTTTTTTCTTTGATTTGTTCTTGAGATAATGGTCCTCCCATAAATAGAATGTTGTCAAACTCTTCAATCTGTCTTTTAGTAACAACAATTTTAGGGTGTAAATTACCCCATCAATCCTTTCTCCATGAAATGATTTTATCTTTAAGTAGCTTAAGTTCTTTACATAATTGAAACCCTTTCTAACCTTCCACCTTAGTATTTATCTAGAAATCATGCACTAATTCCAAAAGAGATATATCAAAAAGCAACTCTTCAATCTGTCTTTTAATAACAACAATTTTAGTGTGTAAATTAACCCAGCAATCTCTTCTCCAGGAAATAATTTTATCTTTAAGCAGCTTAAGTTTTTTACATATCTGAAACCCTTAATTTTATTTTTAAGTAGCTTAAGTTCTTTACATAGCGGAAACCCTTTCCAACCGTCCACCTTAGTATTTATCCAGAAATCTTCCAGTCCAAAAAAGATTTATCAAAAGGCTAAGTGAGTTCAAATCTGAAGGCAAAGGCCCAAAAGAAAACCATCCGTATTAAAAAGAAGAAGAATATGATCGGAAGCCACTTTTAGAAGAGATTGATCGTGAATTTTTGAAAAGGTTTTCAAAAGCCGGAGATACCAAAAACCTATACAACCGAGTCAAAACCGGTTCCAAAGCACTATGATTTGTCCATATATATTTTTCCCCAATAGAGGGAATATCAATAAATTCATACTGTTGAATAAATTTTTCAAACAAACATATATAAGCTGACATGTGAGGAGAGAAAGAAGATTCACTAGCCCATCGAATAGTATTAAAATCACTTCCAACACACTAAATCATATTAAAATGATAGCAAATGGCTGAGAGCTTATAAAAAAATAATAGCCTTCTATCAGGTCTATTAGGTCCATACATAACAATTAAACACCAAGTAAAATCACATGTAGGACTTGTGAACAAAATAGAAATATGTCTAGCCGACATAATATAATCATAAGCATGCAAAACACTTGGTTCCCATGTATTGGATCCCAAAAATTCCATAAACCGTCTTCCCCATACTTCCTTTGTTGTTTGAAAGCTATTGGCATCTATCTTAGTTTCTTGAATAAGCAAAACATCAGGTTTTTCATGCCTACGTAAAGACAAAACATCTCTTTTGGGCACAACAATGTTTAGGCCCTGAACATTCCAACGCAACTTCATTCAAAGAAGTAACTGTTCCTGTGTTGGGTGGTCCTAGAAGGACCAGTAGACATAGGCGGACTAGGTTAGACTAAGCACGGGAACATCCACTTACCTCCTTCTTACCAAATTGTCGAGTTCTCTTTGCACACGTCCCTTTCTTGTTGATTTCTTCATTTTACTGCGACCTGGTCGATAAATAGTCTCATTCTCTCAACTCTCCTTTAACGTTTCAGTAATACTATCCAAAGCCTCACCATAATGAACATTCATAGCATCTACGACTACCAACTTCCAAATATATAAGGATAAGTCTCTCTATATGACAGAAATGTCATCTGCTATGTCTTGAACCATCTCCTCATCAACGTCTTCTGGAAGACCCATATCAAGCAGTGTAGAAGTGATAGGTTCTTAGAGCTGACCCCCATTGTAATCATCTTTAACCACAAGTTCATGAGCTAAGGAATAGCCAATCCATTATGGAGATCCGGCATAGAAGGATATTCTATTCATAGTTAGCAAAATGCCGTTTAATCGGCCATTTTAAAAAATTCGGCGTTTTTATGGAAACAGTTTTAAACAATGACTTTTTGAAAAGGTCAGCAAAAAATTGCGTTGTTTTCATAAAACCGTTTAAAACGCATTTTTTTCATAATACAATTTAAATGAGGCAAAAAAATAGTATCCTTTTTTACCTATATTTTTCTTTTGATAGAATTTTTTTTTTTTTTTTTTCTATTTTATGTATTGCAGCCATTGCTACTTTCATGCTTTTAGAAAAAAATATTATTTAAAAAAAAAAATCTAAAATAGTAACTTTTGTCCCCACTGTGTTTTTCAAAGCCACAGTTGCAGATTGATGGTATGATTTTTTTTAAAAAAAAACTTAAACAAATAGATGTAGATTTCAGTTGTTATTCTAGAAAATCATTGTGTAAATGAAATACTGTTTATAGCAAATCATTTTGTAAAGTAAAAAATTATGTAAAGAAACCATATACATGCATATTTCTGTGATTATTTGTGATAATTGTTTTTATGAAAATACTGTTTAGGGCACAAATTAGAGCTCAAAAGATAGTCTTTTACTTATGAATGAGAAGCAGAGAGTGTGACTACAGGACCAAGTAGTCAATATTTTGTTTTTTATTGTGTAACTGTATACTTATGGGAGTAAGCAATTGCACATATAGGATTAGTTCCTCAAAAGCTGTTTTCCCAAGAAAATGAAAAACCCTCTTCAAACTATCCCAAATCAGAGAGACAAAACCTCTTCAAACTATCTCAAATCAGCATACCATCGTCATTTTCTCTCTCTAAAAATCAATTAGAGTGTTTTTCATTAGGGTTTTTCCTTTTCTCTCTCTAAAAATCAATACCCCTTCCATTAGGGTTTGTGAAGCCCATGACCTCTTTCTTCTTCCTTCTTCTTCTCTCTATAAACCCTAGTGGCTATGAGGCCAGCCCTATTTTCTTCTCTTCCTTTTCCATCTTCTCTCTTCTCTCTTATCTTCTTTCTTCCTTCTTCTCTCTCTAAGCCATAAACACTTCTTCTCTCTTTGCACCATAAACATAGATGTCAAACCCAAATTTCTACAAGCCTCTTTTCAATTAAAGAAATTTATAAATCTTCAACGATAGTTATCGAGTGATGATAGTCACCATACCATAGTTAAATCATTATAATGAGAAAACAAAAATCGTGTAATTTTTTTTGGTACCGGCTAAGTAGGTGTGATGTTTAAGTATTTAATGAATAAATATATGTAGTATATTTGTCACCATACCATAGTTAAAGTATTTTAATAAATAAATTTATATGGTATATTTGTTTTTGTATGTAATAAGTAAGTGTGATGTTTCTTAAAGTATTTAACGGGTAGATTTATATGGTACGTTTTTTTGGTACATACTAGTTAATTATGTATTTAATATGGGGAAAGTTTATATAAGGTTGCAACCTTAAAGTGTAGAACTACGGATGCACCTCAAAAATCTATCGAAAGAGGTAGTTTCAATTTTGAAAAAAGGTTGTCAGAATGTTGAAAAACCATGTCATTAATCGAGATGTATGACAACGAAAAACAAAAAGATTTTGGGTCTCAGAAACAGTGCATCTCACAACATATTATCTACACCGTCCATTTT